TAACAGAGAAAAAAATGGAAAAATTGACTTTTCTTGATATATGTAGAAGGTCTGTTGAATTTCTGCTCCGAAGAGCCATGCGGAAGAACCCGTTTAAGGTTTTCTTAGTTTCATAGAGATCTGCTTATATCCAAAATATTTATTTATGCAGCATCCGACGGTTGGGCATGCTCACTAGTTAGTTTCACATATACGTGTTCATTTTTTGCACCGCTAGATAGACTTCCCACTATCAGCCTCCATCCTCCTATACATCATGAAAGACATGCTGTTATGCGTAACACGATCTATGACTATTTCAAGGGTTTTCGCTAAAGTGGTCCAGAGTCCTTCAAAACCTGCGATAGGTTTATTATGCTGACTCCTTTTTTTTTTCATGAAATTGAATTTGAAAGTCCGAAAATCCAAACATCCTTCATAGAGCATAGCCATTTTGGACCTTACTACAAGCTAGGAAAGACATCTCGATACCTTATTATGCACTTGAGGACCTCCCTATTTCAGTTTTCAAATAGATTAGAACTCAATAAATCAAAAAAAATCTGGTTTTTGCTGGGCATCATGACGTTTTGACCTATATCACTGACTGTAACGGACATTTCCACAGCTACTCTTTTTATAATTTTCTGAATTGTGCTCAGGATCAACTGTCTTTCTGCATAATGAAAGTGATTCCGTCAGGTTCACCCTTCCAATTATATAAGGACTTTCTTGAAACGTTTTTTTCGGAAAACATGTGATTTCCTTTAAATGTATTTTTATTATAGACAAAACCAATTTTCGCTATTTTCAAACCTTTGTTTAAAACTATACCCCGTTGCCTCAGCTATTACTTCTTAGAGAAGTTTTTAAAATAGAACATTGGATTTCTCTAAGATTTTTGATTTTTTTACACATCATTCAAAATTATCTTACAGTTATGATTTCATCGTAATCGTGTATTTTACTTATTAAATCTTAATGAAAGCTCTGTACTAAATGCAATTTTTTGCAGACAGTAATGTATCTGATATAGAGATTTTGAAAAAGTACTAAAGACATTGCTTTTGATTTGACTGAAATAAACATGCAGTAAATAGAAAAGAAATGAGATTTCGTCACCATTTAACATATCCTCTTCATATCATTATAACGCTTACAACATTCGTTACAAGCATACATACTAATCGCATAAATAGTCAAATAAAGAAATTATTCGAGTTACTTTTGATCGTAGTTTGTGATGGCCAGTGGATCAGCAACAATTGTGATTGGTTATTGTTTGTCGAATGAAAAATATTCGTCATTAAAATTTGATGAGTTTCTCTCATTATGTCAAAAGTTAAACATAGAAACGGTTCAAATAAACGAAGAATACTTACGTGGTACAAGTCAGAAGCAACAAGATCAAAGAGTAAATGTCATTCTACATAAGTTAACTGATATTTTAGCTCATCAATTGGTTGATAATGATCCAAATGCACGAGAATTTATAGAAAAATTTCAAGTAATGGTTGCTCAACAAAAGCAAACCTTGTCGCCATTTATTGTTATTGATGATTTTGACTCAGTAAAATGTTTGCTGAATCGCCATACTCAATACACCTTACTAAGTGAAATAAGTGATTTCTGTACGCCATCGTTTGTTAGCCTAACAGATGAAGCAATATTCAAGGACATCAAAAGAATTCAGCAATCATTAGATGATGAAGGTATATTATATCCGATTATTTGCAAACCAATAAGAGCACACGGTGAGTATGAAAAGATTTACGAACTAAAAAGTCAGCACTATCACATGTGTGAAAGAGAAAGAATGACTCTTAATATGGGAAGGCCTCTTTTTCAATCAATGGAGCTTCACGACAAACTCATATTGTAGAGAGCTCTATTAGTTTCTCTAGCTTTTTGCTCTTAAAACATAGCCTCTGATGACCTGCTATTTTAATATGTTGAGGCCATGGACCAAACTTTCTCAGACATTTTCGATTCATCTGCCGTTAGAACCGTCACAGACCCCTAATATATATGTAAATGGTCATTGAACTATATAATTGGCTCATAAGTGAATTACAGGCCTAGTTTTCTGGTCAAAAAATGGATCTAACTGGGATCAACGGTTTCTTAAGTGCGTTAGAAGTGATGATTGCTCGAATGATAAGTTTTTGAGACTTTTTCAGCTAAATATTGATGCTGCTGTAGTATGAATGGTTCTGAACAGTAGTACAGTTCAAAAAGTATACGATCCTAAGTCTCTTCAATAAACAAAGATAATCCATAGATTAGAATTGTGGCGATTATTATCTGTCCAACGCTGTTGAATCTTCAACTTATAAAAGTAATGAAATCGTCATAGTTATTCATTTCACAATGTGAAGTATTTTCCTACATTAGAAGGTATCGTTTCATCCTGAGAAACAGGGTGTTACGTATGCGCAATAGGATTTTTTAGCTAAAGCTCATCATTTCAAATTTTATCATTCCTATTAATCTTTCAAGCGAAAACTCCGTCGTCTGTTACCAGAAGGCAAGGCTTTTCTTGTTCTGTTATTATATTACGCAGAACTTCGCAAGCGAAAAGAAAAATATCCCATTGGTTTGAGCAATCCAACTGTATAAGACAACCTTATAGAAGTAAAAAAAGAAACAGCATGCGCGAAAATTATGGTAGAAAATAGCAGACTCAGGATTTTGAAAAAAAAGGAACGCAGACTATTTGTGCTGTTCTAAAAACTAAAATTCATGCTTGTATGAAGAAAATTGACCATTACTATGTAAAGACTAGAACAGCTCGAAAAATATCATGTGCGAAAACTTTTGACTTGATACATTATTGAGTCTCAATCTGTTCTGAATCTATTTCAGTTCAAAACAGTTTTTCTTCTATCTAGTAGTAGTTAAAGACAGTTGTAACAGATATACTTAAACTTTACATCTTGTTTATTGAAATAAATCCACTACTATTGATAGGTGGGTGAATAATATTTGGATAAACTTAATATGCGAAACTGTAAAAGAAAATATCTTATAGAGAAACAATTAATAATTAGACACAGATGAAAAATACATATGACAGAAAAGAAAGAAAGTACATGTGACAAAAAGAAAACAATACATATTTCATGTGAAGATAATGTCGAAGTGAATGTGCAAAAAATAAAAGATGACAACATCTAAATTTATTACTTCTTAACAGTTTCGATCACAAAAATTTCCTTTTCCTAGGTCCCGGTGCACATAGTATGAAAATTATATTTGATCATAATCATCTTCATGATATTAATTATCCTTGTGTAGTCCAACAATTTATCAATCATGATGGAATATTAATGAAAGCGTATTTACTGGGAGACATAAGTAACAATGGTAATAACAACTTTCGTATTGTATATCGTAATTCTGTAAAGAATTTTACCGAAACAACATCAAACGAAACAATATCATTTACCACAAAGGAATTATCACATTCTGCGTCAGTTAACGTAAACGATAGTAGTTTTCATAGACTTAATGTTGATGAGATGAAAATTAGACATATATGCGAAAGTATTCAAAGAAAGTTCAAATTGAATCTAATGGGTATTGACATAATTATTGACTGCAAAACTAAAGATTATGCTGTAATTGATGTTAATTATTTTCCTGGTTATAACGCATTAAATAATGTCAATGAGCAACTTCTTAATATGTGTCTTAAACTATTTGAACTTCAAATTGAGAAGAACACCCTTAAACAAAATGATTTAAATGTATCAATGGTAATATTCTATAAATCATCTGAATTTCTTGTTACTAGTAGCGAAAATCCATGACATACATACCATCTTTTGGGACGATGTTGCTCATATTAAAATACTCATGGTCGGGTTTTATTTCACAATTCTAACAACAATTCTTCTAAATAGCTTTTAATAGGGGCACCATTAAGGTCTGCAACTTTCACCGCTAGACAGAAGACAATAGAAAACATAAAGTACATGAAATCCGATTGATCTAGTACTTAACCAATTAAACTAGAGGTGACCCTTTGTCTTTACTCCCACTGTTATAAACAGTAAAGATCAATTAAAGAAATAAAGGTTTCTTTTTTCGAGATGCTAATGTAATTCACCAGTTCTAGGACCGCAGAACTTGTATTCAGAAAGATTTTTATCATTATACAAATGTATTTTGATTGAAAACAAGCTAGTTAAGAAATGACATGCATTTACGCTTTTTTTTCTTATATTTGACATATATCGGTGACAAAAATGACGATCAGATTAAAACTAACATCGCATTCTGATTCATCATGAAACATGGAGTTGAATTATGGGTATTTCAAATATTTTTGAGATATTTTTTTTTTTCATTGAAAAATTCAACTTATACTCCATTTCAGTGTTGTTGAATCAAAAAACAAATTCCGTGAAAACGTAGGTTTCACCATTTAAACAGCTTTCAGTTTGTATTCTAATTACTATCATTTCAGTCTTAGGGCTGGTTTAACATTTCCCGAATTAATTTTTGGTAAAGTTCATTTCTTGACTCAAAAACACTGAAATGGAGTATGAGTTGAATTTTTCGATGAAAAACAAATGTCTCAAAAATATTTGAAATACCCAAAATTCAACTCCGTTTTTGACGATGAATCAGAATGCGATGTTAGTTTTGATCTGATCGTCATTTTTGTCACGGAAACGTGTCAAATATAAGGAAAAAAGTGCAAATGTGTGTCATTTCTTAACTAGCTTGTTTTCAATCAAAATACATTTGTATAATGATAAAAATCTTTCTGAATACAAGTTCTGTAGTCCTAGAACTGGTAAATTACATTAGTATCTCGGAGAAAGAACGTTTTATTTTTCTACTTTACCTTGATTTAGTAAAGTAAGACTAAAGAATCATCCCTAAATCAGAATCGCTGTCGAAGAACATATTGAGAAGGGCACTCTGAAAAAGTTTTCCACGTGATTTTGATCTTTTCTCTGATTGTTTTATACAGAAAATTGTTCCATTTCGATATGCGTAAGGGTGAACCTGATAGTTTGCTCTGTATAAGAGTTTCAGACGTTTACCATACTATCCAATTTCTGCCAAGCTACTTTCAACCATTTCAGATTTGACAACTTGAAGATAGGCGAATAATCAGGCTGAGTCGAATGATGGCATGATGGATGTTCGAAAGTGTTTAAAACATAGCATATTTATCGCATATCTCAGCACATATTAAATATGCAGCCCTGAATTCTGTTTCAGAAAGTGCGCCATTTGAGTCTCTCTAGTTTCATAACACAAAAACTCATTTTGGCTGCTCTCAAGATTTAGATGATTAAAATTAAATTTTTTCCTAGTTGTTGCTATTTTTCAAGATGAAAGTGGAAAAAGTACTTCTTAAAACTTATTTCTCTTTAAAAACGAATCGTATTATCATACAGGCATTTGATGGAAATAGCAGTGAGGTCTAACTGGTTCTATTCATACAGCCATATTTTCAATATATCCCCTATAATTTTGTCTATCGGGGGCAACTAAATTTCTTCGTAAGTGTTATTCGATGGCAAAACGCTCTCTTCAACGGCACATACGAATGTTTGAACGAGCATAATGGACGACCAAACAGATCGTAGCTTTATCCTTGATCCTCCAAATCAATGTCTGTGTATTTATACACCGTACTTTGTGATGTAAGATACTGAAACAATGATAGAAACACTAACATTCTAGTGTGCATGAATATTACTATATGTCTCTATTAACTACACAAGTACAGTTGCATGCATAGAGCCAGTTCGAAAACATCGCTGTTTCCATCAAATGACTGTAGGATGGTGAGATTTATTTTTAAATAGAAATAAGATTTACGAAGCACTTTTTTATTTTCATCATGAGAAATAGCAACACACCAGGAAAAAATTAAATTTTAATTATATGAGAAATCTTGAAAACAATCTGAAAGAGTTGCTGCGTCATGAAACTGAAAAGAATTTCATGGTACACTTTCTGAAACAAAAGTCAATGCTTCATGTTTTATCTATGCAGAAATGTGCGATAAATGGGCTACTTTTCAAACATTGCTCGATATCCGGTACATGTCGAAATCGAAAAGTTCGTCGATCTCTCAAGAATTGGCTTCGATTTTTCAATATTTCGGCGTTGTAATCTGGCTTGAGGATGTCACGAAATTCTGATTGCAACTGGTTGCAGTTGCTGCAGCAAAGCAGGGACGATTGAATAGTCGAAAATTCGGTGCGACTTTTCGATTTTAATATTATTGCGTTGCATAGATCGGAGAAGATGATTTTATCTATCACACGATCGGATTCAAAGTAGGAAAGCATCGTTGTTTTTATATAACTGAAATACCTTAAGGTATTAAGTGATTTTACTTAACACTTAATTTGATTCAAACTAGGTTTCAGCGATTCTGCTAGAGAAGTAGCATTTAATTTCGAGTTTTTCTTTACTCCAATAGGAACTCAGAATGGTGTCTGCTAGGTCATTTAAGAGAGAACACCTGATTATTCTCTATTAATCCCAAACAAGAATATGTTCTACCCTTACAGTAGTGAAAGAAGTTCTGGTCAAACCTGACTCGTAGAAAAGAACAATTCCTAGTCAACTAAATGTCAACGCACGATTTCTTTACTGTTATAGCTACAAAACATGTTGTTAGAAACATATGAAATAGAACCTCTGCTAAGTCTCTGATCGAATCCGACAACACCATAGCTTATTCTAATAGTATTTAAGACATTGCCTTCTAAAATTCGATTGGTTAGAAACTTTTCAATTTCGACGAATTAGATTTCAGCAAACAATTTCTTTCATGAATATTTATCCTTAGAGCAGTCAAGAAAACTCTAACCGATATCTGATTGGTGAGCAGCTTTTCGTTTCAGCCAATCAGCTTTGAATGGAGTTTTCTCTAAATGATCTAGACAACATCATTTTAAGTGCGTATTGAAGTAGAGAAAAATTCGAATTTAAATGATATTTTCCTAAAGCAATCACTTCAAACTTAACTTTTAGGAAACTAACTGTTAATTGACAAAAAATCCGAAAATTAATATAAAGTGGCAAAAAATAAAACTTTACTTAACTTGTCGTTACGTTGAATGGCCCACTACTATTATGCAGTCAAAATCCAAAGGGAGAATTTTTCAGAATACTGTCTCCAATAAATTCTTTGAAAATGTACCTGACTGGTTAAGTTCCAGAGGAAATAGATTTAAAGTGAGTTATAATTCCCGATATCCTATTTGGCGTAATTAAAATCGCATGTCTTAACCATGTTCGTACCGAAGAATTTTTGAAAAAAACCTGGTTGCAACCTTGAAAAGATCGACTATAGCTCGATTAATCGCTGTATGGTACCGAAGAATTGAATTTTGCTTATGGGGACGTTGGCAAGTGTGTACGTAAATCAGCTTTAATTAAGAAGTCGATAGGTACACATAGTTTGAGAGAAATCAAGTTGTTCTTTCCAAGGCAACACTTTCTCGAATAGGAGATCGAGTTTCCATTGAATTTCAGGGTCCATACTATGTTGAAGCTGCATTCGGAGTAGAACAGGAGGCGTAAAACACTTTAATACCAAGCTAAACAAATGACACTATATTTCACAAATCTATCGATAACGTATTGAAAGTTAAATAATTCCATTGAAAAGCAAGACACGAACTGCCGTGCAGCAAGATTTCGTGTGGACTAAAATAGAAAGAAATCATGTAGTACTAACATAGTAGATAGCATTGTGAGTCAGACCTTGTTCACCAATCTACAGAGAGTCAGAGCCATATTTTGTCCACAACTAAGACTCATTGTGAGGTCAATACGCATTAAAACATGCAAAAGAAACACATCGCTTTATGAGCTAACCAAGACCGCGGCAGAAAATTCATTTATGATTCGCATAAAAAAATATTATCGTGTAAGGTTTGGCACTAAGCATTCTCCCTGATTATGGTCTCGGCCCATGACTCGACATGAAAATCAAGAATAGTTCGGAAGCTGCTTAGACAGATTCCTCACCATTATTTGGATTCGCTTTCTCAGTGCATTAATTCATTACCGCTGACTGTTTGCATCTCGACTTCATCGTTCACAATGTAAGTTAATTGATCTTCATTGTCAATGGACACCGAAATATCACGACAATCAGTTTTCCATTTCTTATACACTCATCGATACTTATTTCAAATATGATGACCCTCCGAAATTCGAGATAGAAATGAACGAACAGCTACGAATAGCTGAAGCGATCTTGTATTCAAAGAACATCGACCATGTGCTACAAGGCAACTACGGGAGCAGACACAAGTGTGTGATTTTATGTCTTATTACGGCAAGCAATAATCACAACGGATACTGAATACAACTTTCGATTCGGTCTCTTTCTCTTTCGTGAATATTTTCAACTTACGTTCGTGCTATGATCACAGCCACAATTCTGTGTAATTCCATTCATTCTAAACTTTTCCAGCCTAGTCTTGATAGCATTATTCTAAAGTGATCAACGACGCATGCAGGTAATATATGGTTCTGCAAATCAAATAGTACGCATAAACGCTTCCAGAAAGTATTGATTCTGTGCAAAGTTAAACAGGTTACCAATCGTACTAATTCAAACGAAATTTCATAACATTCAACAATGACTTCATGCATGACTGTTTAGCTGATATTGCGTTTTTGCACATGAGATAATCATATGGTCCAGAAAGTAGCACAGAGCGTAGTGTTTTTTTCGACACATTTTATATCCGTATTTAGTTCACAGTGGATTCAAGTTATGGACTAAATAAGGCTTTGAGTCTGCGCAAATTGATGGAGA